TCTTCAGCAAAGGTGCTCTTTAAAGCATTAAGGAGCAAGGATGTCACTTCAAGGACTAAGGTGCTCCTGCCCTATGCCATGGCATTTCCAGTCACCTCATATGCATGCGTTGTTGTTGTTTGCCATTGAGTCTCATAACTGAACCTCCAGCAGGTTTTCAGAAGCAGTAGATCACACAGAAGGGGAGTGCCCAGCCTCCTGCCATGAGCTGGTGGATTCTAACTGCATACTGTTGGGATTGCAGCATATTTTCTTACCATTAGGCCACTGGAGCTCTGGTGGCCTAGGGGTAAGGAATGGCACTGCTAACCCCAAAGTATGTGGTTTGGATCCACCAGCTGCTCTGTGGGAGAGAGATCTTGGCAAAGAATATTGAATCTAATACTGGCGGCCAGAAGGAGCAGACTTACCCTGGAAGAATTAGAGCCAGGATGCTCCTTATGAAGAAAGGTTGTAAGACTTTGTGCCACGTACGTTGAATGTGTTAGCAAAAGGAAGCAGTTCCCAGGGAAGGACACTGTGTGATGAGGAAGACTTTCCGTGAGATGGACAGGCCACAGCTGCAGCAGTGGGCTTGCACAGGGGCCATGAGGACAGGGTGGAGGCCATGAGGACAGAGAGGAGGCCGTGAGGACGGAGCAGAGGCCATGAGGACGGAGAGGAGGCCGTGAGGACGGAGCAGAGGCCATGAGGACGGAGAGGAGGCCGTGAGGACGGAGTGGAGGCCGTGAGGACGCAGAGGAGGCCGTGAGGACGGAGAGGAGGCCGTGAGGACGGAGAGGAGGCCGTGAGGACGGAGCGGAGGCTGTGAGGACGCAGAGGAGGCCGTGAGGACGGAGAGGAGGCTGGAAGGACGGAGAGGAGGCCGCGAGGATGGCACAGGACCGGGCAGTGCTTGGTTCTGTTGTACGTAGGATCACTAGGGTTGGAGCCGACTCAGTGGCTCCTGACACCACCGGTGAAAATGACAGTCGTCTTTATGGAACCTGATTACCATCCTTCTTTCTCCCACAGAGCAGCTGGTAGATTCCAACCACTAACCTTTCGGTTAACCACCTAGCACTTAACTCCCCCACTGGGCTCCTTTGTAACAACCCTATGAAGCAGGTACAATGATTTTCCTCATCTTTCAAAAACAGAAACTGAAGAGTAGAGAGTTTAGGAGACGTCCCTAAGTCACACAGTTGGGAAATGGATTCTAACCAATCACCTCCTCTGCGTTTGAGAGCTGGAATAAAAAGATGACAGAGGATCAATGCCTTTGAGTTGTGGTGTTGGAGGAGGGGGCCGGATGTCCCATGGACGCCAGAAGGACAGACAGATACTTTTGTCTTTGAAAAAGCGCAGCCAGAGTGATCCTCAGAGACAGGATGGTGACATTCCGTCTCACATACTTCGGGCACGTTGTTAGGTGAGGCTGTTGTGGCAAGAAGCTGCACTGCAATCCTGAAGGCATGTGGTTCGAATCCACCAGCTTCTCCACAGGAAAAGGAGAAGCAGTCCCCTCCTGTGAGGTTAGTTGCCTTAGGAAACCTGCCAAGGGTCAGCTGTGGGTTGGTTCTGACTCGACGGTACACAACAGCAAATTGCTTGGGAAAGGACATCGTGCTTGGAAAGTCAGCAGAGAGGAAGACCATCAACAAGCTGGACTGGTGCGGTGGCGCGATGACGCGGTCAGAGAGGATATGGCTGGCCCAGGACGGAGAGGACAGGGCTTTGTCTGTCCTTCATGCGGTAACAGCAGCAGGTGGGGCAGCAGGCTGCTTCCTCAGTGTGATGTGCATGACCCGCCTCACCTGTGCTTGCTTGCTTTTTTTTTAATAGTAGTTTTGTGTAGGTTGTTTTTTTAAAAAAATTATTATTTTGTGTGTGTGTGTGTGTTTGTGTACCATCAAATCGGATCTGACTGGTACAGGAGGAGATTGCCCCTCCTCCTCCAGCAGAGCATCTGGTGGATTTGAACCGCGTACCTCTGGGATTGCATTCTTCTATAGTGGGAAGAGGCAGCCCAGCCTAGGCTGACCCGACACTAAAGGTGGAGCTGAGAGAGACAGGATATCACCGCCCCAACAGGTAGGTGAGCTGTGCTTCTTACAGCCCCTCCAGATATGCCCCCCACCCCCGCTCACTCCACCATCTAATGCTAACGACACACGCTGATTCAAGTTCAGACGGAGCCCAACAGCATCGGAACAAACGTATTTGCATTTCTAAGCTAAAGGCCACCTGGGTTCCCACGAAGGCGGCCACTTACACTTGACTGCCTTCTGCTGAAAAATTGCGTGACAATACATATACAAACCACTGAAGTAAGCAGCGTGCCCTGCAATTGTTTCTCCTGAAAGTGCAGTTTTAGTTTCTACTAAAAATGATGTCATTGAGTGCCTGTGACTCAGAGTGACCCCAAGTGTGTCAGAGGAGAGCTCATCTTCAGTGCTGATTTTCAGCAATAAATCACCAAGCCACCAAGGCACCTCTGGGTGGAATTAAATGTTTGCCAATTTCTAAACGAAGCTAGCATACGTGTGTGTTTCATATAAGGTTGTTGCTGAATAAATGCTGAGTATTTCTGTCTAAGCTTTTATGAGATTTTTTTTCAGTTAAAAAGTACCAGGAAAACCCGTGCCCTCATGCCTGGGATTGAACTCTAAACATCTTAAAAACTCCTGAGCTTGTCACAACGACGTCCTCCACTCACAGCTGTGCCTCCTGCTCTGAGATGCAGCCACTCTTCACCAGCTGATTCGAATAGCTCTCTGACCTTTCTTCACACGCACTTGGGGGGACTCAGGCGTGTGACCTCTGAGCACATTAACCACCTAACTGAACCACCTCCTGAAAGCAACAGCCCGGCCTAAAGGTGTCTATTAACTTAGCCAGTTGTCTGGGGACCAAGGGAATTTTAGTGCATGAGGCTTGGAAACACATCCCTGGGGCTTCCCTGCGCCCCCAGTGGCCACCCTGACTGTTAACTAGTCCCCAGGGCCTCTGCATTTTCAAACAGAAGCTTGTTAACCCAGATAAATCACTAATTAGTGGGATTTAAAGCATTGTGACAGAAGGGATAGGAGCAGTTTCATGCAGGGTGAGCGTGTTTTAGGAGGGTGATGTCATCCGAAAGCCCCCCCCCCCCACACACACACACTAAATACTACAAGCGTGCTTCTCAAGATGTTTGCATTTAAAACTCTCACAGAAAAGGTCTCATTCCAAGAAGTATTAGAAAGATGATACGGCATTTTAAAGATGATAGAAGGATGATGGAGTTTGTCCAATACCCTCAGATTACCTGACATGTTAAAGCCTTGATAAACTATGTTCAAACCAAAGCTTCCACCTGGTCCTTATTTTTATTTTATGTTTTTTTAATGTGGTTTTGTTTTGGTTTGGTTTTACTGGTTTGCTTACAAGTCCATATACATTGTGTTTCACACTATTTTTCATTCACATTGTTTTTCTTACAATCATTCTCATACATTATGTTTTGTAAAATTAACACCATTGGACGTTGTCCATCATGACTCTTTTTGCCCTAACACAGTCTCATAAGGACAAGTACTGCATAAAACCATTATTGTAAAAATAGAAGGATAACTAGCAAACCTTGTATGGGAACTCAGGGCGGGGAATGGTGGGAGCGGAGGGGTGAGCATAGGTAGGGGTACCTGGTTCTTCTTGTTCAATCCTCCACTGAGAGTTTTCAGTTCTACCTTAGTTAGAGCTCTGGTGGCCTAGTCGTAAGAAGCTGTGCAACCAATTCAAAGGCATATATTTTGAATCCACCAGCTGCTCCATGGAAAAAGATGGGCCGTCTCCTGTGTGATTTATGCCTCCGAAAACCCACTGGATGGTCAGCTATGGGTCAGTTCTGACTCTCCAGGACACAACCACCACCACCTGCATTCTAGCCTGTGCTCTTCACAATAATCCTTTCAAGAAGGTCTCCTTTCCCCACTGTGTGTTAAGTGCCCTCGAGGGGAGTATGATTTACAGCAACCCTTGCAACAACAGATCTGAGCCCTGTCGTACCCTGTGCTGTCCTCACCACCTCTCATCTGACACACCGAGCCACTGCTGCAGTCACTGTGTCAATCCACCTGACTAAGGGTCTTCCTCTCTTACGCCAGCCATCCACCATTCCAAGCAGGATACCCCTTTTCAAGAAACAGCCTTTCCCAGCAACGTGCCGTAATCGAGGAGTTCTCTGGCTGCATTCTCCTCCCAAAAATATCTCTTTGTTCTTTTGCTAATTTGTGGGATATTCAGTGTTCTTCTCCAGCATCATAGCTTAAAGGCTATTTAATTATATTTCTAGTCTTCCATCATCCTTTTTCATTGTCAGTCTTTCAGTGGCATAGCTATTGAAAAGACCATAGCCTGAATCAGGCACACCTAAGTCTTCAAACTGACATCCTTGCTCCCTAGTCATTTGTAGAGGTCCCTGATGGCCATCTTGCCCAGTGCACTGCATCTCCTAATTTCCCATCTGCTAGTACCAAGGGTGTTGGTTGTGGATCCAAGTAGGATGAAATCATTGACAATTTCAGTCTTTTCTCCATCTATCAGGATGTTGCTTTTCGGGCCTCTGTTGCTTGTAACATTAAGAAACTCAGGTGGTCTAATGGATATGGAGTTGTGCGAAAGGCAGGTGGTTCGAATCTGCAAGCTGTTCTGTAGGAGAAAGGTAGGCAGTGTTCTACCATGTGATTTACAGCCTCTGACAAACCCCTAGAGGGTCTGCTGTGAGTGGGTTCCCACTCCGCAGCAATGCGCTGAGCTGAGTTTGCAGGTAAGATTGGAGCCCTGGTGTCTATCCAGATCAAAGTATGTGTTCTTTCTGTAACAGCTTCCAGAGGAAAACGTTCTGGCACCTTCTATATGGGGTCGACGGAGAGACAGCCCACGAGTGTCGGGTTGGGGAACGACACAGACGGCACTGCCCATCTGCTGCTCCCCCACCTCCCTCTCTAACCACCCCTCCCTGCCTGCTTCCCACACAGGTGAGCATCTCCACCGTGGGCTACGGAGACATGTACCCTGAGACCCACCTGGGCAGGCTGTTTGCCTTCCTCTGCATCGCCTTCGGCATCATCCTCAACGGGATGCCCATCTCCATCCTCTACAACAAGTTCTCCGACTACTACAGCAAGCTCAAGGCCTACGAGTACACGGCCATCCGCCGGGAGCGCGGCAACGTGGACTTCCTGCCCAGGGCCAGGAAGAAGATGGCCAAGTGCTTGGCTAGAAGCACACCCCAGGCCACCCCCAGGTGAGAGCGCGGGTGTCCGGGCAGGCAGCTGGTGGCTGCCGTGGACTTCACAGCGGCATGGCTTTGTCTAAGTTCATTACCAGGTTTGTCAGTGAAAGGACACCTGGAGGAGAGGTTCACAAAGGACATTCTGCTGCTGGAGACGCTGTTTATTATTGCTACTATTATTGTTTGAGTAAAAAGTTACTGAGCAGGGGAGCTCTGGTGGCCTAGTGGAAAGAAGCTGTACTGCAATCCCAAAGCATTCTCTGCCGGAAAAGGAGGGACAATTTCCTCCTGTACCAGTCAGATCTGATTTGACGGTACATGCATAAAAATAATAAAATTTAAAAAGAAAAGAAAAAGTTACTGAGCAAATGCGTTTTCCATTTTATCTATTCACGCACAAACTTGCTTTATGACATTAGTTACAACATGGGAGCTCTGGTGGCCTAGTGGCAAGAAGCTGCACTGCGGTCCCAGAGATATGGAGTTCAAATCCACCAGTTGCTCTGCTGGAGAAGGAGGGGTAAATCTCCTCCTGTGCCAGTCAGATCTGATTTGACAGTACACACACACAAAATAATAAAATTTTTTTTTTAAAAAAAAAAAAGTCTGCACTGCAATTCCAAAAGACACGCAGTTCGAATCCGACAGCTGCTCCTTGGGAGAAGGATGGATAATTTCCTCCCATGCAATTAACTGCCTCTGAAAACCTGCTGAAGGGTCAGCTGTGGGCTGGTTCCAACTTGAAGGTATTCAACAACAACAATAACAACAATTACAATATCCACATAGCAGCCACACTTTTCCACGTCCTCCCTGTGGTTCACATTTCCATTCATCCGCTGTCCTGCTCTTCTCTAGGGAGCTCTGGTGGCCTAGTGGTGATAATAGCTGCATTGCAACCCCAAAGGCATGCAGTTTGAATCCACCAGCTGCACTGTGGAAGAAGGATGGGAAATCTCCTCCTGTGATTTCCTGCCTCCGAAAACCCTCTGGAGGGTCAGCTGTCCGGTGGTTCTACCTTGATGGCATACATCAACAACAACAACTCTTTTCTGACTTTTTATTGCCCTTTCTACCTTGTGTGATGATTGTTTGGAGGAGAACCTCCCTAGTATTAGAGTTCACTTTTTAAGTTCGTAATTCGGCTGAAAGTTGAGTCCCAAGGGTTAGGTCAGTTCTTGGGCTTGAAGGGTGGCCAAGGGCCAAAGTCTCAGGGGTTCCTCAGTCCTTATCATACTATCAAGTCTGCCTATTTTTTTTTTTATTTTTTTGAGGCGTTTTTTCCTGCATTTTCCCTCCACTCAGTCCAGGACCTTCTGCTGTGATCCCTTTTTGAAGAAATGCTCATTTGGCCCAAACGGAGATGAATTGACATTGTTCCTCTGTCCTGGAAAAGTCTGACCTTCCCCATGACTTTGATCCGGGAAAGCCTGTGAGAAGAGCAACGTCTTGGGTCTTGGATTTCTTTTGCAGCTCATGAACTTCACTCAGTAAATAGTTCTGGACTTAAGTTGACTTGAGAAGGTTCTACTTACTTTGAAGGAAAGAAAAATTTCTCATGTCTCCAGGACACAGCAATAATGCTCTGAGAGCTCTCTGGGCTTGGAGTGGGACCAAGCTAGATCAGAATCCCAGAGCTAACAGCTGCATAGTTCAGGGCAAATGACTTTAATCCTCTGAGGCTCCAGTTATTCTACTGTTAATTGTAGATTGTAAGACCCACTTTGTAATGCCATCGTGGGGACTGTATTTGTAAAGACTCGAGAAATGGTAGCTGTTAACTTTATCTGAGTGCTGTCTGTGTCAGACGCTCGAGAACTGTGGTTTAACCAAGGGCGATCCTGCCCTGCACAGAACACTGGGCAGTACCAGCAGGGCCGCCACCTCGGGTACAATACCGTCACTGGGATACATATTCGATGTCAAGTTCAAAGCTGCTGTGACTGCTTCTGGAGTTTCCAAGTAGCTGACCATGTGGTGGAAGCCAGATTTCTGGGAACCGTGACGCACACACTGGGGCAAGTGATTCCTCCTCAGGCTCGTCTGGCAGCTGAAATGCTGACCTGCGCTGCCCTGAGGGAAAAGCCCACGGCCAGTCTGTATGGGCCAGGAAGAAGCTTAGTCAAATCACTTGTGAGCCTGTGTGAAGAATCAGAATGGAGCTCTGGAGCTAAGGATCTGCTCTACACCTCAGCCTTCCACAGCCAAGGGCTTCTCGTTGTAAGATCTAATACATCCCCGTTCAGTCAGGGTCAGCTTATCCCAAGCCAAGGCTCATGGGGACCAGCCAGAGGCTGGGAGGGCTCTACACTTCCCTGCCTGTTAGACCAGCTCTCTCATTCTCACCCAGACGAGGTCAACAGGTGTCCAAACTCAGCACATCTCTCCATGCCGCCCCACCACCTGCACTCGTCCTGTGGTGCTTCCACGGGGTGACTAGTGATTAGACCAGACTACTGGCTGGCTCCCCTTGGTATCCAGTACTGGAAGGGGGCTGTCTCCTAGTGGGCACCGACCCCCTGCCTCAGTGCCTCCAACAGAGTGATCAGCTGGCCCAGTGGACAGAAAGTGATGCTACCAAGCCAAGGTGGGTGACTTTTAATCCCTGGCCCTCAGGCCAGTCTTTCATTGTTTGTGTTCAGACATTCCTCTGGGTCGTATAGCCCTGGTGTACAAATTGCCATACCGCGGTCACTTGTGGTTGCTGTGAGGCTGAACACTGTGACAGTGATGTGTCAAATGGTTGGTTACCCATGGCGGACAGTGTCTGGTGAAGCTCCCCAATTAAAACAAGCTTGGAAGCAGGAGTGGCATCCACTTCCAAAATAGCTTGCCTCTGGAAACCCTATGAACCTGAAGAGAGGATGAGAGACACCCAAGTGTCGAGGACTCTCCTTCATAGGGTCGCTATGAGTCGCCTGTGACTCGATGGCACTTAACAACAACAACAACAACAACAACTGGCTGGCTCCCCTTGGTCTCAAGTACTGGAAGGGGGGTGGTGTCTCCTAGTGGGCACTGACCTCCTGCCTCAGTGCCTCCAAGTCTCCTCGGACACTTGGGTCAATCTAACAGCACCTCTGGCTGCACCCCTCTGGAAGTTCAAGTCCCCAAGAAGCTCCGCAGGAGAAAGATGGGCAGTCTCCTCTTGTATGATTTACAGCCTTGGAAAAACCACTGGAGGGTGATTTATGAGCCTGTTCTGAATGTGCCTGAGTTTTCTGAGAAAAGCAGCAAGGCAGGACGATGCCCCCTGGAAGGCACTGGTGGGTAGAGCCTGGAGCTGCTGAGGGCTTGGAGTCAGCCACACTCAGGACAGGGCCTTCCTGAGGGCCGTCTGCTGGGGCAGAGATGTAACGCCTCCCCGTGCAGGCCCGGAGGTGGTGAGCACTCTTGCGAAGGGTGTGGAACTCGTCATTTACTTCCTGCACCAGCGTTGTATCCTTTCTGGGTCCTCCTGCAGCCTCTGAGCTCAAGGACAGCAGGCCACGTGATGAACCAGCAGCAGCTTGCAAGCTTTCCTATCTAGTTCTCGGCTCCCAGAGTGCAGGCCACCTGCTCCTGACGCACTCAGATAGCAGGTGCCCCAAGGTCATCCTCCACAGAGTTGTGCCCACAGAGCACGTCACTTTTGTGGCCTGGGGTGGCCACAGCTGTGTGCTGGTCTTTCAGGGGAGCAGTGGCTTGATGTGATGTTTCAGCGTCAGCTGACAGTAGCCCCAGTTCCTTTCAGACGCCGCCTTTCTAGCCATGTCTTACTATTTTAATGCATGATTTACTGTGTTTAAGGTGGAAGGCTCGTCCGCAAACTAGGTTCCCACTAAACAGTTGCCACACAGATTATCCAGTGATAGTGGTGACATCTGAGCTCCCCAGCAAATCCTGGAAGGCTTTGACAACTGAGGGTGAAGGCTAGGGAGGGCTGGACAAGGGTAAGATTGTCCAGGGCTGCTGTGGGGAGGACAGATTGAGATATGGAGACAAAGATGCAGCCCACTTTTAACTTGACCTCTGGGGCAGGGACAGCAGGGCGGGGGCAGGGACAGCAGGGCGGGGGCAGCACAGCTCTGTACAGATGATGCCCAAGGGGTGGGGAGGCAGTGAGGTGCCCCTGCTGGGGACCAGAGAGGGGTACAAAATAATACAATAATACACATGTAAAAATGATATCATACGTGCTCTATTTAGTAATGTCAATTATACATATGCCTGCCTGTAAGGAAGCTGGAGCTCTGGTGGCCTAGTGGCAAGAAGCTGCGCTGCAATCCTGAAGGTACGTGGTTCAAATCCACTGGTTGCTCCATGGGAGAATGGGTAATCTCCTTCCATGCAATTAACTGTCTCTGGAAACTCTCCTCCTGTGCGATTAACTGTCTCTGAAAACTGGCCAGAGGGTCAGCTAATGGGCCAGTTCTGACTGTACACAACAACAATAAAGGCTGGTGTGTAATCTGTGGGGAGCGACGGTGCCAACCCACCTCTTTTTGTGGTTTGTGAAGGAGAGAACACAGGGGAGCAGGTCCTGAGTCCTTCTCCAGAGTGACCGGGAGCGTCGGACTGCCAACGTCCTGGCCAGCAGTCCAGCAGCCATGGACAATCTTACCCTTGTCCAGCCCTCCCTAGCCTTCACCCTCAGTTGTCAAAGCCTTCCAGGATTTGCTGGGGAGCTCAGATATCACCATTATCACTGGATAATCTGTGTGGCAACTGTTTAGTGGGAACCTAGTTTGCGGACGAGCCTTCCACCTTAAACACAAACTCCCCTGTGTTCTCTCCTCATCAGTGGAGATGGGCCTTCTCCCATGTGGTTTATAACTTCCAAAACCCCGCTGGTGGGTAAACTATAGGTCAACTCTGACGTGACAGCAATGAGAGTATCCATCCACATACACAGAGGATGAGAGAGAGGAGTCCCGCGTGGTACAAATGGTTAATACACTTGACTGCTAACCAAAAGGTTTGCAGTTCTCATCCACCCAGAGGTGCCTCAGAAGAAAAGTCCTGGTGATTGACTTC